CTATTGGAAAAAACTCTCCAAAAAAAAAAAAAAAGAAAGTGAATGAATAAATAAAATTAAATAAATAATTCTTTAAAAAAATTTAAAAAGAAAACAACAACAATGTCCTGTCTTTAAGCTCACGCTGACCTTCCATTGGCCTACCGTGTGGGCTTAATTAGGTATTCATTTCGTCCATTAACTGGGCAGGGACTGTTCCCAGATGCCTCCAGGCTGGTGCGGACAATGGTAACCGCCCACACCTTAGTAACTCCTGGACGTCTAGAACAGCGGAAGCCCGGGAGCTTATTTCCCTAATACCTGTCCTCACACTTGTTCCTCAGGACCAGGGACCAGGCTAAACTCTTGGGTGGTATTTTGTTCTTTTTTGAGAGATTTTTGGTATAGGTCACATGTGCTCATTGGAGGGACAGAGGGGACAGAGGGAGACAGAGAGACAGAAAGCGAGAATCCCTTCTCCTCCATTCTCCTTTCGGGATCTTGGGCATGCATGTATACGCGCTGGGTGTGAGTTTCAAGCCACCAGTTCTGGGACTCGAACCGGGGTCGACTATGTGGGAGTCCAGCGATGTAACCATTATGCCATCTGCTGGTCCCACCAAGGGTGTCTCTTACACAACCCTAAAGAGAATTCGAGAAGTGTGACATAAAGGAAAGCAAGAAGAAGAATTAGAGGGGCTGGGGCCAGTAGTTGAAGTGGTGGTTAAGGGCGCTGAACTCCCACATGGCTGACTGCAGTTCGAATCCCAGACCTGGCAGCTTGCTTTCTCACTTGCTTTCTCTCTCTCACTCTGTCCTTCTCTGGTCCAATTAAATAAATAAATAAGTAAATAAAATTAAATAAAGCAGAATTCTTTAAAAGAAAATAGAATTAGGTGCTGGCATTTGGCGTAATGGCTATGTCGCTGGACTTTCATATAGTTGACCACGGTTCGAGTCCTGGACCCGATGGCTTGAACTCATGCCGGGCGCGTGCGTGCCCAAGATCCCAAGGAGAATGGAGGAGAAGGGATTGTGGTGTGGCCATCCTCTCTCGGGGGTGATGTCTCTCTTTCTGTCTCTGTCTCTGTATTTCTGTCGAACACACACGCCCTATAACAAAAAAAATCGCTCCAAAAACAAACAAACAAACATAAAAATCTAGACCAGGGGCCGGCAGGAAGCGTGGTGGTTAAAGGCGCTGGGTTCCCACATGGACGACCATGGTTCAAGTCCTGGACCTGGTCGCTTGATTTCTCAACTTTCTCTCTCTCTCTTTCTCTCTCTCACTCTGTCCCTCTCTGGTAAAATTGAAATAAACCAATGAATAAATAATAAAGTTAAATAAAATAATTCTTAAAAAAAAAAAAAAAACTAGACCAGATAAATGTATGTGTGTGCCCTGAGACGGGAGAAGAAGAGATTGCCGTATGACCATCCCCTTAGCAAGAGACTTCTCACTTTACTTCTCTATCTCTCTGTCTCTCTCCCTCAAACACATGTACCCTATGGCAAAAATCTAAACAAACCAGAATTTTTTTAAAAAAGTCAGACCAAGAGGGGCCAGCAGGTGGCACGGCGGTTAAGGTGCTGGACTCCCACATGGTGGACCACGGTTCAAGTCTCAGACCTGGCAGTTTGACCTTCACAACGGACGGCAGTGCACGCATGCCCAAAATCTCAGGAGCAGAATGGAGGAGTAGGGATTGCAGCATGACATCCCCCTGGGGGGTGATTCCTCGCTTTCTGTCTTTGTCTCTCCCATGAGTGCACACTTACCCTATAGCACAAATCTCTTAAAAAAAAAAAAAAAAGAGAGAGAGAGAGAGAGAGATTGGCAGATGAAGAAACTATTTTTTTAAAAAAAA